GGGGGGGAGGGGGAAGGTCACTAACCTCTCCCCCCACCTCGCGGTGGCCTTTTCAGTCCGAGAGGAAGCTCCTCCCATCCCCTCCCGGGAGAGGAGGACGCAGGGAAGATGTGTAGTGGGGGAGGGGACGTCAAATGTTGACAGGGCGCTGGGGACACAAGCGCTCAGGCAAGTCAATACCCGGCTCTCGGCTCTCGCATCGCTCCCTCCTTCCCTCCCGCCCATCGAGGAGAGGAAAGAGGAGGTCGAGTTTAACGTGCCGCTACAGAAGCGGCAGCGGCGCCCTTCCTTATCTACTTGCCCCACGGGCTATTGCCCGAGAACCCCGAAAGCAAAGGCGGCATTTGCCGGAGTCCTCGTGGCTTCCCGCAGACCCAGCGTTAAGTTGCCCACACAGAAGCTGCCTCGGCCGGCAGTTTGCTCCTGTTGCGGCTGCTTTTCTTGGCTTGGAAAAGTTTTTCGACCTGCACGAGCAGGGAAACTTGCTTGTCGGTTATCAAGTTTGGGAAAGAATAAAGAAAGGCACCTGCAAATAAGAGCCCCTCGCAAATCTTGAATTTTCCGCTTCAGCGAGGAGCCGGTTGCTGGGAATCCGTCTGTTAACAGCGCAGGATCCCTCAACACGGGATGACGATTTCTCCCGTGAGCGAATCCTCGGGGCTCCCCCGTCTGATCCCTTCGCGATATTTTGGGGCATCGTGATCAGGTTCATAGGGATTGTAGTCACCAAATCTAGTAGCTTTTGTTTTTTAAGAAACACGAGGTCTTGGATATGCTCTTTCCAAGCTCCATTAGAACTGCCTCAGTGGTACAGCATGTGCAACAAATATTAAAAGACAAGATGCAGGGTGATGTGAACCTGTCAGAAAGTATTATGGGAGTCTTGCCCATGAATTCCGTAAGACAAATGGCCACGTGCTGAAGGGCATCTTCTTTTTCCATTATGGCTCCCAAGAGATCCCTGGGTATAACATACAGGGGGAGAAATTCTATATATCCCCTGAGTTGTAAGGACTATGAAATGTTAAAGTCTATTGGTATATGGACTGAAGCACAAGCATTGCCAGGGTGCCCACTATTCCCAAATTAAAAATACTGAAAGAGATTAATATATTTTTGTAAAGTATCTGAATGTGGTTATAATTATACAGGGCAAAACTTAACATTTTTAACGAATTTAATTGGAAGATAATCACAGTATGCCTTCAGAAGTTAGAGTGAAATAAGTTACCCAAGTTAACAGACAGGGAGTCCAGATGAATGCTGTGGTTAGGTCACTGGCCATTTTGTTCCAAGTTCCTTGTGTATGAATCACCAAAATCCATGTTTGCTAGCTATCATTCCTACCATCTACTGTTACTTTTCTGATAAGAGTTGAGTTCATTATTTAGTTCACAGTTTTTTATATGTGAAACTGGCAGAGTAACGTGCACATTTAAAATATCTTGTTCAATTATTAGAAGCACCTTTTCAGCGAGTAATACACTGAAGATGGTGTCTGATATCAAATTAGAATATTGGTCCACCTAACTCAGGTTGAGCTGGCCTGCAGGATTTACATACATTTTAAAATTCTACTTTTGCATGAAAATACAGGAAGCTTCTTTTTAATATAAACTGATAACACAGATTGACTAGGTGACTGAAGCTTTGAATGTTGAAGTTTACCAGTTTAGCTGTTGCATGTTGCACATGTAACTTTAAGATTTTAAGGTTCGTTCAGAGTAAATTGCTCAGTAAAATGGCAAAATGCTAATAATAAAGCAGCTAAACATACCCAACTTCCTGTTCTATTTGCTTCAATCTCTCTAACAAAAAAGGTATGCAAATCACCAGGAATTTGTGAAAAGTAGGATGAGAAAAGAGACAGGATTAAAGTATGGAAGACATAGAAACATCATCTGGGACTATCTCTTGACTGCTTAGATGTCCAGACCTTATGAGTATTGAAGGTATTAACTAGTTATTTCTCAGATCATTATAAATGTTTATATAGCATAACTATTTCCAAAAATGGAGAAAAGGAGGCTACATGGAATTACTAATCAATTTGACATCAATAGTTGAGAACTTTTCCTAAAAATTATAAAGTAGTACCATGGATATTCAAAGAATGTTCATCAATGGTTGTTCATTAAATTTGAGAAGTACAATAAAGTTCAAATAGCTTATTTAAATATTTTTATTATGAGTTGGACTAAGAAATGGGGGAATCTTTATCACATTTGGATAACACAAAATTGGAGGGAGCAGCTAATACTGAGGGAACTTTGGGGCTTTTTGAGTTTTGTTGTTTTCTTGCAGAACACTGATGATGTAGTTTGGGTAATGAAACATCTGCAAGAAAATAAGCAAGCTCAGAGAGTATCGAAGACCCTTCATTTCAACCCTGAACTACAAATATTGTCCTTTATTGGTACAGTTAATACTCTAGAAGACAGAAATAACCTTCATAAGAAACAAATACTGTATATCACATAGATCTATTCTGCACTGATCAGATCCCATCACTACTAAGTCAACTTCTGGGTACTGCACTTAAGAAACATTCAGACAAACTAGAACATAATCAGAGAAGTGTAATAAAAATGATCAGAGACTAGAAACTAAAACCTATAGAGAAATTTAAGAAGCTGCATGTTTAGCCTTGAGAAAGGATAACTGAAGAGAGATACAACGTTCTTGAAATATATGAAATATTACACACACACACACACACACACACACAATAAATCCTGTTCTCAATAATTTCAGAGTTTGTCATAGAATGACAGTTTTAAATTATAGGAAGGTAAATTTCATATGAAGTTTAGGGGAAAGAAACAATTTGACCAAGAGGATGCTAAGCTCTTCACTGACTGAACAAAAGCAAAGGTTAATGGTCAGTCTGCTGAGAATGCTTTAGTTTAGTTTGTTACACAGAAAAGGGAAATGGGTAAATGGCCTAAATATTTCTATGGTTCTATGCATATATGCAAACCACTATCTATGGCACAAAATCTGTGGCATTTTCTTTGATATGTTTGTATTATTATCTTTTTATAATGGTTTTAACTGTTAGTTGCCCAGATTCATGAATTTAAGATGGGCATTCATATACATTCAAACAATAAATGCATTCAATCAATCAGAATTCAAATTAAAGCCTTAACACAAGCATACTTTGAAAGAGTTAGGGAAAAAAGGCCTGTACATTTTTACTGATTGATTGAATTCATTTACCGCATATCTTGTAGCAAACATAGATTCCAGTTTTAGGCAACTAGTAAGATTTTGTAGTTTCCAAGAAGCATAATATAAAGTTGGAAACATACTTATAAGGAATCTTAAAACAATCAAATCCTTTTATTTTCTCTAAAAGATATATAGCAAAAACATATATTTTATATCTTCAGACAAAAGACTCACTTCAATCTTACAGAATTTCTTGCAAGTTAAAGACAAAAGTTTAACTGAATTGAAAATTCAATTGAGAATTGAAAAAGTTTTACTTTCCATACTAGAAAAAAATTAAGCTATGCGTTTTCTTGACAAGATTTTTCAGAAATGGTTTGCCATTATCTTCTTCATAGGACTAAAAGAAAGTTACTGGCCCAAGGTTACTCAACTGTCTTCATGCCTAAGGCAGAAGAGCCACCTGGTTTCTAGCCTGATGCCTTAACCACTAACCAAACTAGCTCTTGCGCTAGGTATTAGGCCACTAGTAAATAGTGGAAGGAAGAGCACACTAACTTTTTTCTTCCTGATACAAAAGCAAAACAAATATAATACAGAATGAGTTTGGAATCTCAATGCAATACAGATATTCCTCAACTTATGATCACAATTGAACCCAAAATTTCCATTACTAAGCAAGACAGTTATAATTGAATTTTGTCCCATTTTATGAACTTTCTTGCTACAATTGTTAAATGACTCACTGCAGTTATTAAGTTAGTAACATGGTTGTTAAGTGAACCTGGCTTCCATATTGACTTTGCTCGTCAGAAGGTCGCAAAAGGTGATCACATAACCACAGAACACTGCAAATGTCATAAACACATGCCAGTTGCCAAGCATTCAAATTGTGATCACATGACCATGGGAATTCTGCAACAGTCGTAAGCGTGAAATGGTCATAGGCCACTTTTTTCAATGCCATTGAACAGTCACTAAATGAATAGCTGTAAATTGAGGACTACCTGTCTATACTGTACTGCAGTACAATACAGAATTGTATAATTTTATTTTATTTATTTACTTATTTCTCAAATGAACATGGCTGCCCATTTAACAAAACAAATTACTCTGGGAAATGTACAACGATCTAAAAAATAGTTAATAATAATTGCAAAAGACAGATTTACTTGGAATGCTTACATCCTACAACAATACCACTAATACTATCAAACATAAACATCTACCTAATCCAGATCCTTGGGACAGACTCAAAAATTTGATAAAAATGCTAATTTGAGTCTGAGTAGCTGGCTAACTGTGCAACAAACTATAAACACCATCTGAAATAGAATTGCTGTTCAACACTGTCCATCTATACAGCCAAGATATTGCAATGGAGTTTGGACTGGACAAATGTGCATGCTTATCATCAAATGAAGAAAAATAGTGATGTCAAGATGCCCTAGGGAAAGAACATCAAGAGTCTGGATTAAGATTGCTACCAATACCTGGGTATCATTCAATGTCAAGCATCAAGCATACTGAAGTCAAGAATAAGGTTAGAAATGAATATATTAAGAGAGTGAGAAGGTTCTTAAAGTCCAAACTAATGGAACCAATACCATCAAGACAATTAACACCTGGGTAATTCCAGTCATTAGATACACATCTGGAATAATGAAACGGATTCAAGCATAACTAAAAGCCCTGGATAGGAAGACCAGGAAAGTAATAATAATGAATCTTGTCCTTCATTCATGCAGCAATGTTGTCAGACACTACTGTCAAGGAAAATAAGTGGGCATGGAATGTTGCAAGTACATCAGATTGTTGAAGGGAAAAAAAAGACCATTGGAAGGATACCTGAACAACAGTGAAGAAGATGCACTGAAGCTAGAATACCAAGGCGGCTGACTGAGTACAGGAGAGATCAACTGACCTACAAAAAAGACCAAATGAAGAACAGAAAAGAGGCATGGGAAGACAAAGCATTGCATAACCAGTACATTAAAAAAGTAGGGGGAAACAGATAATAGCAAGACCCAACAATGGCTAAGAGCAATAAAGTTGAAGAAAGAGACAGAGGGGGGTTATTCTGGCTGCACAAGATCAAGTCTTAAGAACAAATGCATACAAGGTAAGAGAGAAAACTGTTGAGAAAACAGCAACAGATAGCAACCACCACCTCTGCAAAGAAGCTAAAGAGACAGTAGATTACCTGGTTAGCTGCTGCAAGATGTTTGCCCAGACTGATACGAACAACACTATGACAAAGTAGCAACAGTGGTGCATTAGAAGATCTGCAAGAAATACTATCCGTCTGCAAGCAAGAACTGATGGGAACATGAAATAGAAAATGGAGTTAAAGTGCTCTGGGACTTTGTAATTCAAACAAACAAGCATCTGCCACATAATAGGCATCTGCCACATAATGACTTAACAATTTGTCAATAAGACAAAAAAGTCTGGATTGTAAACATGGCAATACCTGGAGACCTCAGAATAGAAGAGAAAGAACTGCAGAAGATAACAAAATACAGTCTCTCAGATAACCCAGTTCCATGCCATTTAGGGCTATAAAGGTGACCTTGGAATCCAGAGACAAACTGGTAACCAATGAAGCTCACAGAGCAGAAGTGTAGCATGTTCTACCAAAAACACATAACTGCGCTACTACACTTTTGCACCAGCTGAAGTTTCCAAATACTCTTCAAAGGCAGCCCCACATAGAGAGCATTGCAATAATCCAATGAGATCACTTGTGAATGAGTGCCATATAGGGCCCCTCAGTCTAGGAATAAGATAATTCATATATATATATATATNTCACCTCCATTTCCTTCGGCTCCCTCGCGCTCCCTCTCCTCTTTCTCTCCCTTCACTTCTCCCCTCCGCCTCCAACGGCTCCATGTGTCCGCGCGATGAGCCCCCGGATCAGGCTAGCTAGCGGGAGGCGGGGAGGGCCGGCCCCCGCACTTTGTTAGCGCTTGTTGTGCTGCCAGGGCCAGGAGCGCTCGGCATGGCCAGCAGGGCGGAGGGAGAGCGTTCCCGGGAGTCTCTCAGCCCTCCGCCTCCACCAACCCCCCACCCCCGCGCCCCCTTCGATTCCACAGCCGGCCCCGCTTCTCCTGCCTTCAAGGAGACTTTCATACAACTTTTCCTCCTATTTTAATCGCCCTCCAAACTTGCGCTCGAGGAAAGAACCGGGGAAGGAGGGGGGAGGGAAGGAGAGAAGAGGTCAGAAAGAGAAGCGCCGCCGGAGTCGCTCCGGCTCCCGCTCTCCGGTGTGTTTGCTTCCTCCTCCTTCCTTTCTCTCGCCTCCCCCCACCCCACCCCACCCCCACATCCTGAAAAGCTCCTCGGCCGGGGATGCACATGGACCAGAGAGCAGCACCGGCGGAAACCGGGCGAGGATCCGCGCACGCACACACTGGCTCCATTGCTCTCCTTACCCCTCCCCCGACCTGCTGTGGGGCCCGGCCAGCCGGGCAGCAGCTCCAGAGCCGGTGCGCCGTTGCCCTCCGGCTCTCCCCGGTTCTCAAGGCGAGGTCACTTACCGGGTCGGGATGGGTTCGGCGCCGTTTTCGGAAGCGGAGCAGGCGGTGAGGCGAGCCGGGGCCCCCGGGAGCACCTCTTCCCCGCAAACAAACAAACAAGCAAGCAAGCGCGGAGAGAAGAGACCCACACAGGAGCACACGGACCGGGAGTTGGTTTCAGCCGGGCAATCAAAGCGAGGCAGGCGGATACCCCTGATCCGGGCCGGCCAGGAGGTCACTGAGGTTCCTCGAGGTTTCCACCGGGTCCCGGGTCCGCTTCCCTCCTTTGTGTAATTTCACTCGATTCAAGTTTAATCCGATAGTTCCCGAGCGCGTCCGCAGAAGCCGAGCGACACACCAGCCAGCCAGGCGGCTGCCGCTGCTACCGCCCCCTGCCTGTCCGCTCGCTGGCTCCCTCCGCCCGCCACGAGGCGCGCCCCCGACGCCACTATCCACCCTCCTTCCCGTGGGCGAGCGGGAGGGAGGAAAGAACGCGCACTCCCAAGGCTCCGCCCCTTAACGTCATCAACTGCTGGCATAATTTATGCAAGAATCCAGACCTCCTAAAAAGCGGGGGGGAGGGGGAAGGTCACTAACCTCTCCCCCCACCTCGCGGTGGCCTTTTCAGTCCGAGAGGAAGCTCCTCCCATCCCCTCCCGGGAGAGGAGGACGCAGGGAAGATGTGTAGTGGGGGAGGGGACGTCAAATGTTGACAGGGCGCTGGGGACACAAGCGCTCAGGCAAGTCAATACCCGGCTCTCGGCTCTCGCATCGCTCCCTCCTTCCCTCCCGCCCATCGAGGAGAGGAAAGAGGAGGTCGAGTTTAACGTGCCGCTACAGAAGCGGCAGCGGCGCCCTTCCTTATCTACTTGCCCCACGGGCTATTGCCCGAGAACCCCGAAAGCAAAGGCGGCATTTGCCGGAGTCCTCGTGGCTTCCCGCAGACCCAGCGTTAAGTTGCCCACACAGAAGCTGCCTCGGCCGGCAGTTTGCTCCTGTTGCGGCTGCTTTTCTTGGCTTGGAAAAGTTTTTCGACCTGCACGAGCAGGGAAACTTGCTTGTCGGTTATCAAGTTTGGGAAAGAATAAAGAAAGGCACCTGCAAATAAGAGCCCCTCGCAAATCTTGAATTTTCCGCTTCAGCGAGGAGCCGGTTGCTGGGAATCCGTCTGTTAACAGCGCAGGATCCCTCAACACGGGATGACGATTTCTCCCGTGAGCGAATCCTCGGGGCTCCCCCGTCTGATCCCTTCGCGATATTTTGGGGCATCGTGATCAGGTTCATAGGGATTGTAGTCACCAAATCTAGTAGCTTTTGTTTTTTAAGAAACACGAGGTCTTGGATATGCTCTTTCCAAGCTCCATTAGAACTGCCTCAGTGGTACAGCATGTGCAACAAATATTAAAAGACAAGATGCAGGGTGATGTGAACCTGTCAGAAAGTATTATGGGAGTCTTGCCCATGAATTCCGTAAGACAAATGGCCACGTGCTGAAGGGCATCTTCTTTTTCCATTATGGCTCCCAAGAGATCCCTGGGTATAACATACAGGGGGAGAAATTCTATATATCCCCTGAGTTGTAAGGACTATGAAATGTTAAAGTCTATTGGTATATGGACTGAAGCACAAGCATTGCCAGGGTGCCCACTATTCCCAAATTAAAAATACTGAAAGAGATTAATATATTTTTGTAAAGTATCTGAATGTGGTTATAATTATACAGGGCAAAACTTAACATTTTTAACGAATTTAATTGGAAGATAATCACAGTATGCCTTCAGAAGTTAGAGTGAAATAAGTTACCCAAGTTAACAGACAGGGAGTCCAGATGAATACTGTGGTTAGGTCACTGGCCATTTTGTTCCAAGTTCCTTGTGTATGAATCACCAAAATCCATGTTTGCTAGCTATCATTCCTACCATCTACTGTTACTTTTCTGATAAGAGTTGAGTTCATTATTTAGTTCACAGTTTTTTATATGTGAAACTGGCAGAGTAACGTGCACATTTAAAATATCTTGTTCAATTATTAGAAGCACCTTTTCAGCGAGTAATACACTGAAGATGGTGTCTGATATCAAATTAGAATATTGGTCCACCTAACTCAGGTTGAGCTGGCCTGCAGGATTTACATACATTTTAAAATTCTACTTTTGCATGAAAATACAGGAAGCTTCTTTTTAATATAAACTGATAACACAGATTGACTAGGTGACTGAAGCTTTGAATGTTGAAGTTTACCAGTTTAGCTGTTGCATGTTGCACATGTAACTTTAAGATTTTAAGGTTCGTTCAGAGTAAATTGCTCAGTAAAATGGCAAAATGCTAATAATAAAGCAGCTAAACATACCCAACTTCCTGTTCTATTTGCTTCAATCTCTCTAACAAAAAAGGTATGCAAATCACCAGGAATTTGTGAAAAGTAGGATGAGAAAAGAGACAGGATTAAAGTATGGAAGACATAGAAACATCATCTGGGACTATCTCTTGACTGCTTAGATGTCCAGACCTTATGAGTATTGAAGGTATTAACTAGTTATTTCTCAGATCATTATAAATGTTTATATAGCATAACTATTTCCAAAAATGGAGAAAAGGAGGCTACATGGAATTACTAATCAATTTGACATCAATAGTTGAGAACTTTTCCTAAAAATTATAAAGTAGTACCATGGATATTCAAAGAATGTTCATCAATGGTTGTTCATTAAATTTGAGAAGTACAATAAAGTTCAAATAGCTTATTTAAATATTTTTATTATGAGTTGGACTAAGAAATGGGGGAATCTTTATCACATTTGGATAACACAAAATTGGAGGGAGCAGCTAATACTGAGGGAACTTTGGGGCTTTTTGAGTTTTGTTGTTTTCTTGCAGAACACTGATGATGTAGTTTGGGTAATGAAACATCTGCAAGAAAATAAGCAAGCTCAGAGAGTATCGAAGACCCTTCATTTCAACCCTGAACTACAAATATTGTCCTTTATTGGTACAGTTAATACTCTAGAAGACAGAAATAACCTTCATAAGAAACAAATACTGTATATCACATAGATCTATTCTGCACTGATCAGATCCCATCACTACTAAGTCAACTTCTGGGTACTGCACTTAAGAAACATTCAGACAAACTAGAACATAATCAGAGAAGTGTAATAAAAATGATCAGAGACTAGAAACTAAAACCTATAGAGAAATTTAAGAAGCTGCATGTTTAGCCTTGAGAAAGGATAACTGAAGAGAGATACAACGTTCTTGAAATATATGAAATATTACACACACACACACACACACACACACAATAAATCCTGTTCTCAATAATTTCAGAGTTTGTCATAGAATGACAGTTTTAAATTATAGGAAGGTAAATTTCATATGAAGTTTAGGGGAAAGAAACAATTTGACCAAGAGGATGCTAAGCTCTTCACT